CTTTTTGAGGCCGTTTTTTTTTATACGCGGGCCTGTTTAACAGACCCTCTTAGTTTTCATAATGGAATCTACTCACAATTTTGCTGGAAACTTATGAGCAACATCCTTGTGAATGGTTCACTTTATGAAAATATCGAATATCGTGCCAACTGAAATATGAGTGGGGCTGTCTGCAGCACATTCAGTTGTAGAACACCATAAACGAGAGGTTCAGTTGAGTCTCTCGTGAAAACAAAGTTGATTTGCAAATGAGTGGATTTCTCGCAATCAGTTCACTTCAGGTTCAAGTAGAACATAATGTTCACGGATACTCGGAAACTACGTTTACCTGACGAGCTCTAAGAGAGGCAAAACCAGTCGCGGGCTGCCGAAGAATTTTCACCAACCTTATGAGTAGTGTATTGCGTCAATATGTCAACCGATTTTTCGACCCTATAAGTTTGTTCCTGTCACTCAGTGTGGCTTATCGAGAAGCTGGTGGATTGTTACGGGAGTATATCCCAACCGGTTTAAATGTATGGAATTGTTCTAACATAATGGAACTTAAAACAGCCACACTTTCAATTCGACAGCGTTGGAGTTTAATCGCCATGTCGCTTCCTGACTTCCATATCCAAGTAGGTGGCAACTGTCAATCCAACTGGGTTAGCCATTCAATACTTTCATTCGACACCTTCAAAGCTTAGCTTCCTCACATTTTGGCTGTTTCTACTCATGCGGTCGGAAAACATGGCAAAGATTCTCCTACATGAAATCATCTGGCATACCTCAGTTTTTGTCACTTGCCACGGTAAAGCTTTGGATAAACCTAAGGCTAAGCTCAAAAAGTGTTAGTACAAATTCCGCGCGAAAAACTCTCCATCATGCCCAAGAACTGGTTCGTTTGCTCTGCCACGTTGCACAGATGGATCTTGCTAAGCAGGCTATCGTCGGGCGGGTATCATAAGGGCAAAGAGTTGACAGCAGCTGTTGTGATTTTCTCGAACTGACCGGATGCTTCATCTTTTGCCAGGTAATCTGGATGTATGCAGCTACCCAAAATCTTGGTTTATCTCCCACTTCTACCTTTTTATTTGCACGTACAAAAGATCGCGTTTGAATATCTGGAGTTCTGTAGTAGCACCTTATGCGTTTTAGGTTCACACCTTACCCTACTAGAATTAACACCAAACGGTTGTCACCCCAAATGTTGACAGGTAGAATCGGACATCTTTTGAATTATATTTAATAAAAGTTCTGTTGCAGCCTCTAAAATGAATGTGGCTATAAAGTCCAGGCATAGCCTGTACCATAAATACCAAAGTAGTCCGATTTACCATGATGAATTGCACCATTTAGCTAAGACATCTGACATCTTCACACGATACGATCAACCACGTTTCCCCTTGTGTATCGTGTATTTATGGGCGGCACACTGGAGCGGATAGCGCAGGACTGATTGAACGGTTAGTGTGGGAACAAAGTTGGGTAGAGTAACAATAGCACTGAAATCTAATTTGGGAAGTTACGAAGAAATTTCAGCTGAACACAAATCTCTCCAATACTCGTTTTGTTTGCGCCTCTAGGCATGAACTTCGTGAACTTTCTACGTCAGGTATGACTAGTTCACTCAGTCTGAAAAATTGTGGATCGTGTACTTATGGGCGGCGGTTCGGTTTGCCGATGCACACTGGAGTGGATAAAGCAGGATCGATTGAACGGTTGGTGTGGAAAAAATATGAATAGGGTAACAGTGGGCTAATATCCACTGACCCCGTGACAGCAATGTCTCTGAATACATCCGCTAATTGATGTAATGCAACTGTGATATCCTAAACTCGCCGTAGACATGTACTAGATGAGCATATATTGAGGCCGCGCATTGTTCATTCTGTGTTTTCCTGCGGTTAAAGCGCATTGTGGCACTTTGTCACACAGGGTGCGCGACCACAAAAGTGAGTAAGCGTTTCGACTGGCTTCACTGGTTGAGATGGCGCGACGGCCTACGGCAATGTGTTTACCCACTTCCGCAGCAGAACCTTGGGGCTTGAACAGACAAACGGCATAGCAAAGCACATGTTGGTGTTAGATTCATTAGCAAATTTGAAATGTGAAATACGGATCAACGTCATAGTAGATGAGTGCTGATAGAAATTACTTTGTAAAGGACGGTGTTTCATCGAAGTTCCTGGTCACCTGCAGTATGCTTTAGATAGCTGACAAACAAGTGGAGGTGAAAATCATATAAAATTTGAGATTCCAGTTCAATCTGGAAATCTAGCAAAGTAAAACCAAGCAGTAAGAATCATGGTATCGTTCTGCCAGCTTTGCAACATCTATTTCTGTTGGCGTTCATAGTTTATCGACATGAACGCATTAGGCTCCCACAATGTTCTCCGGTGGAAATTGCTCAGTGCTCCATGTACATTTGATGGGTTACTTCGGCGACTGCCTAGATTAAGATGCAGAGGGGAAAATTCAGCAGAAGCAAGACGGGAGTGTTAGCAGCTTGGTTATGAACTGCGAGAGTTGAAGCGCTTACATATTTTGAGCAGAGTTTGAGAGTTTTAAAGAAGAAATCCAACATGCCTTAGATGTGAGCGTTTTGCCATAGAACAAAGAGGTCGCCTCAGCAGAACGTTGGAGTTTGATATTTTTGCAATATTGGGCCAGACATACAAAGCTGGCTGGTACTACCTGAGGGGACGTCAAAACATGATATATTTTGTGGGCAACAGCACTGCATTATACAAAGGCAAACATCTGAGTGCGCTGAAATTTTGTGAGATTGATGTTTTGACAGATCCCTCCGGACCTTTGATCTTCATGCATATGGAACATATGTTGGGGTCGCAAACTCCTTTCATGACACTGCAAGCCATGCGACATGTTTGCGACGAAGTTTAATGGTAATGCTTTTTTCGGATGGCTAGCGTTGTGACAACGTTCTTTATTTTCTGTAGGCGTTTTTCAAACCAAGTGCATAGGTCTTTGGAATTTCTACTATGCAACTACATCGGGATTAACTTAAACCACAATGTGCCAGGCTATCTGATCGCGACTGTCGACAAATCCACCGAATTTTAAACTGTTCTGTGGCCCTATCATCATTCTTCGGATAACTCCGTCACTATAAACTGTCTGCAGTACTCTGCCAGCCAGGCTTGGGATCCGTTGTAGCTTAGAAGAAATGTCGGGAAACCATTTATTTATTGGGATTCTGAGGCATCATAAAGATGCAAAGTGTTCTCTAAAGCTCTCAGGTTGCGATCCTGGCATCTTCTGCAATAATGGCTATTATCAGGTTGATGAATCAGGAGGCGGCGAAAACATGTATTACGGACAAGGGCTAAATGCAGACTCAGTGAAAGATTCATCGTGAAATTCTGCGTAAGCCGGATGGTTTGTGTCTACCAAATATGAAGAAAGTTACTATTTTAGAGAACCTGTGGTCAGGCTGTAAACAAATGAGCCATGGTCTGCCGGGTGCAAGGCGTTTCATCATGTAAGTTTTGATCTCACAAACTGACAAGTTCAACTACTGTCGTGTTTTGGGTTAAATAGCAGGTGGCCATTCTCACCGACGATTAGAGACACTATTTCAGGGTAACATGCTGTATCCATTAACAGTGTTACATTCCTAGTCTGATAAACTTACTTTAGGTGATTTTATCCCCCAACTCCGGTCTCAACGCTTCGAATCAATGGCATCAACACGTTTGGGCTTTGCATTCGAAGCCTCGTAATCATATCAAGACTAGTAGAGGAAATATAATCAAGAGAAGGGACAATTCTGAAAACTGTCGTGGTGATAGAGAATCTAAGCGAAAGTTTGATCTGTATGAATCGGTGATCCGCATGTTTGCTACGAGCCGGCAGTTATCAATACTTTGGGAGCTTTGTGTGGCTAATCTGTCTGATTTTATCAACTTTGAGAGGTAAGACAAAAGCCTTTGGCGCAATGACTATTGGAAGGTTAGCTTTCTGATGTCAACATTGGATTAAGTTCGCTTTGGAATCAAATTAGAGCCTAGGGACTAGTGAAGAAGCAATCTATTGGGGACGGGCGAAGTCGCACTGGTGACTGTCGTGATACTCCGAGACATCAAGTTTTGTGGTATGACCTAAGGCCTAACAGCAGACCGAATTTACAGACACAAACGGCTTTGTCGGCAGACAAGAATCAAGACTAGTTCTGCCTCCTGTTGTGCAGAGTACTACGTTTATCTTTCCAACTGTCCTTTTGGATGCCACAAGGGAATGTACAAGTTTTTATGCTGGATGAAAATTCAGGTGACTGATAAAAAAACATTAACCAGCTGCAAGACCATTCTGGCTTATTGCAGATATTTATAACTACCATGCGTCGTGTTGTACTGGGCCCACCTGCAGTAGCCAGTCCATTTGTTCCAGGAACTGAAGATGTAAGTTTGAGAATCAGGCACGTTTTATGCATGTTACAACCTCACCATTGCTTTTCTTTTCACTTTCATTCTAATCCACTTGGGAACTGCGTATTCTTTGATGGCAAGCGTTCCATCTAAAACATTGATGCTTACCAGGATGAGGCATATTTGCTCAATGGTCTCCTAGAGAACTGTGGTCTGGATTACTAGTTTTTGTTTGAGCAGATTGTGTCGAATTATTGTGTCGGATGATCGTGTTCATCTGAATGGGACCTCACCGTTAAAGGCTGTCAGCAGGATCCAGTGAGAATACACGACTCTTTCTTGTAGGGTATCTTGCTTACATACCTTGAGAATAAAAGATGAATGACATGGGGAGGCTGTTATGTGGCTGGATCTAGATAAGAATAACTCATGTGATACAGTGTATTCAGACGGTCACTTAGGAGCTCGTGAACCAATGCGAAAGAGGTAGATCAAACAAAGTGCCCGGTTGGAGTTACTATAACAGTAATGCTGAGGATGGATGGACCCAAGCTAGCCAAATCCATGCAGTATAAGATGTTTGAAATACTGAGTCACACTTGGTACATTAGCAAAGAGAAGCTACGCCTCGATCACAGAAAGATCATACAGGGTCATGGGATATCACCTTAGGGGAACGGTTAGAGGCCTCTCACAGTGGATGCGTTTCATCATATTGAAGAAGTTGGGGAGCAGCAACATTGGACGCAATCCTTCTTAAGGATGCAGGATAGATTATGCCGGCGAATTGTTTGTTCATCCTGTGTACCAAAGTATGCTCACAAAAGGAGCTACTGGGCAGGTTGACCCAATTCATAGTCTACGCATATTTTCATCCCCCAATACAGTAAAAATAACAAATTCAGCGCAGCTGTGTGACGGAAGCACATCTACCACAGAAATGATCTTACGCATTCACAAAAGATTCCGGTCACATTTGTATACTTCGAACATTTAATCAGCACTTCAAGGCGTAGTTGTGCCTGGAGGTTGTTCTCGTCCAAATTTAGGCAAACCAGTGCGTGCCTCGCTTTGCCTCATCTGACGCTCACGTTACGCTATGACATTTACTGTCTATAGATCGAATCACTCCTGAATTTACAACGCTCGACCACTAGTAAACAATGTATTCTAACTCGGATGCAACGGTACGCCAATTGTCTCCATCTTTTCCTAAGGTAAACTACTCACAAGGTCCCCAAATAGAGCTTGAAAACCCACGAGTGGTTTCGCTCTTTTTAAGGCTCTTCAGGTGAGCACCGTCCACGAGTTTGTGTCAACCTTATGTGCATGCAATATTGATATTCAAACGAGTGTTCGTCGGGATCCGTCTAATTTAGATTTAAGTATAATTTGGAGTTTGCGGGAACTTAAGGACTGTGCCTACCCGGTGAGCCCCAAGAAGGGAGCCACCGATCGTGGACTGTCGAATACTTTTCAGAAAGCTTGTGAGTAGCTTCCTCCATGAAACTATACTGCGATATCTTGAATATCATTCCAAATGGTGTATGAGGCGGCCTTTGTGCAGCGCATTGGGTTAAAGAACACAGTAAATGAGAAATTCAGTCGAGTCTCCCTTAAACACTCAGTTGATGTGCAAATGGAAAACCAGAATCAGACGTATGCTACTTTAATTTACACTGTGAGAAACAGGATGACTTGCATCACGTTTCAAACATAGTACCGAAGCTGTCATCAAGTTGATGAGCGTTGTTCCGTAATTCGGCTGAATACATTGCTGTTGAAATTGATAGGACCTGCTCAAGGTCAAAATCGTTGTACTCACTCTTACCAACACTTGGAGGCTCTTCCCTTAAATTTCATATACCCAAAGATTTTCTACCAGTCTTGGGTTTTGTGGAAATCTGGTTTACAAAAATTCAGCTGGAATTCATAAAAGTTTCCTCGCACGTTAGTCAGTTGGTTAATAATGGCATGTTCTGCACCCGCCACCTGTGACTTGGCTCAGGATATGACTGTCAGTGCACATCAATTAAACGTACCTCACCAACCCAACGGCACAAAGAAGTGCGGTCAAATAGGTCAAATGGATTTCTATGGGAGCAGTCTTCTGTAGCCCTTAAGAATGCTAACATGCCATAGCTGGATTCGGCGTGAGGGTGGGCTGGGTCTCCCATGTAGAACAAATCAATGGCAAGTGAGCGCATTTCGTGGATAACATTACTCCTTTTAAAGTGTTAACCTGCAAGCAATTCATAGAATGTAAGACCCAAAGAATCTCGATGCTACATTTGTCACAAATCTTTGGTAGATCAATCCCCATGACCTGTGAACTTCTCCTAACACAAAGCCTGATTTCCTGATGACTTATCGCATCAGAAAGGCGCGAGCTAATATGTCTTCTCATCTCCTAAAATGGGTGTTTCTTGGCACTGCCGGTAAACAGGAAGACTTTCATAAGGAGGAATCCCGCGAATGATCTTGGCAATACTTACTTGAACTAAATATGTACTCCTATGCAGCGAGAGTCCTTTGTGCCGCCGCCATTTTGCCTCATGCTGCATATCAATTTTAGCCTGACAAATGTCTATTTATCTACAGCTTCTGAGAAACTGGTCCTGGAGGATTGTTCCGCTACGACTCATTGGAACCATGGCTTCGCTCTATCGGAATCCGTGAATACAACCGCTGAATTGTCAGTGAAATAGTGTCAGACAACCACGATTCAGTGATAGCAAGGTCAGCCGACTTACAAGTAGCAAATAACAAAGTATACTTCCAGGGCTTCGTAGTCGATTACTATTGTAATTGGTCTATATCACCAAGGGGTTTCCGCTAACGGTACATAAAATTAGCCAGAACTGTTGCTTGTGACATTAAGGTGAGCCATCCAAAATCGTTCCATTCCAAAATGCTGAACACATGTATCGTTAAGGCGTTTTTCTCTGCTTTTCGTAAGTGCATCGGTGTACACTACAGAGATTTAGCTTTCATTGTGCCTGTCTTTTCTCGAAAATTCTTAATTGTCCCTCCATCATTTCATTTTTAGTCACGTTGGGCTTTTGTATCCAAATAAAAGAAGACAACCCAAGAATGGTCAAATGCTTTAGTGAGTATCCCGGAACCTTTTACAGAAAATTCCATTTGACGGCTTTCTACAAGTCCATTGTTGTATTTTCAAAAACATATTGTTGTTGAGCTTACCTGATTACGCGAAAGTTTGCAATGCCTCCCTTAAAATTATCTCTCTAGATGTAGTTATCGATACCTCACCTTTTTCACTTTAGCTGAATGCACAAATAAATGGAGTGATTGTCCACGTAAGTCCCTGCAACCAGGAGTGGTGAAACTAGACGATCAGTATTTAAAAAACCACCAACTGCCTATTCATATAGCAATTTTTGGTAATTTGTTGAAATATTGGTGAAAGGAGAAATATTGGGGAAGAAGGCCTTTGCTGTGGAGTTATTTATTCGGAAATGCCAACTGACCAGTTACAGACCATTGAACAGGGAAGCAAAACAAAACACTGCATCTTAGATCCAAAAACTGGACACAGATCTTCTCCCGAACGAGTCTTCTTAGAGATTCGATGCCTCCACCCATCCGTTGGTCAAATCCAAGCAAATGGTTCCAAGTGGCTCCACGGATTCCGCAAAAGGTCTCACTTTTTCTATAGAGGCAAAGCAAAATTCTACGAACAACATGCTACTCGCGTGCCTCCCCATCAGTGATCTCACCGTTACACCAGTAATGCAATAAATATATTAGAGCTGCTTCTTAAATGGGCGATATGTGCGGACGGAATTACTTAGAAACTGAAAATACTACAAACATATGCAACACCAGGGAACAAAAGAGTAGATTGTGTGAGAGCTGTGGAAACTCCCAATTGGGTAAGACTCCCGTGATAGATGTTCATCCGAAGGATTGTGCTAATGATACCATCGGGACGCATGTCAATCAGGCTGATTTTTTCGAACTCTTAAAACGGAGAATGCATGGCTAAATGGAGTTGTGGCTCACACGGCTCTGCGCTGACGCTAGGGCACATTTATTATGGCAACACACGCCGAACTATTTTCCTG